AATTCTGAAATGAGTTTCCGATTAGAAAGGATTACTTGGTCGTGGTTGTGATACTGATTATCGTAAAGCAAATTCTTATAATATTTTGGACTCGGCAGGACGTCGGCTTTAAAATGCACTTCCTTTCAATCTCCTGTAGAAAGCGTGCTCGGTAAAAAATGACTACTTAAGTAGCATGCATTTTCCCATTGATTATCGATGGTCTTGGAAATGCAAATATATTGTATAGAAACCACAAACAAAAATGTGCTTTCTTTTAGTCAATCAATAGAGGATCACGTCTTCTTTATATTTTTTTACTTAAGGAAGGAGTATAATTAGGTTTTAAAAAAGTTTTCTAATTGCCGAATAATTTGGAGCCTGATCATTCGTTGCATTAGTGCTTAAAGATTACACTCTATAAGATGCATGCGTTCCGCATAAAGAAAATCCCCTATTTTTCTGCGTCATTAAAGAGATATTATACAGGGTCCATAAAATGTTGCAATGGATGCGGACCATGTTGTACATTTCATGTGGAGCAGTGGTAAACGGCCAGGTACGATGCTATGTGAATGGACATATCGCGGTCTTAAAAAGTCTCATAATTAGAAACTTTTTAAAACCTAATTATATTCCTTCCTTAAGTATAAAATATAAAGAAGACGTGATCCTCTATTGATTGACTAAAAGAAAGCACACTTTTGTTTGTGGTTTCTATAAAATATATTTGAAGTTCCAAGACCATCGAAAATCACTGGGAAAAATGCATGCTACTTAAGTAGTCATTTTTTGCCGAGCATGCCTTCTACAGGAAATTGAGAAGAAGTGCACTGTAAAGCCGACATCCTGCCGAGTCCAAAATATTATAAGAGTTTGCCTTATGATAATCAGTATTACAACCGCGACCAAGTAATCCTTTCTAATCGAAAACGCATTTCAGAATTTCAGCCAACATTTGATGAGATAGGTCACGCACTGTAGCGTTGGTTGTACTAAAGCCTTCCCCTTGCTGCCCTGTGTTCGAATCGCACCGAGGCGGCGAGTTTTTCACAGTTGGGTCAATATGAATTATTCAAAATCTGCCTAAACACCAATGAATCACGTGAGCCTTTGGGTCATTGGGTGGATTCTAGGTGGATTACTAAGGAAATCCTGCTTGGGCGGTCAGTGTACTCTATCGGATTTGGTGGATTCCAGACGTTGCAGTAGGTTGGGCGGGTAACATGACCCAAATGTGATTAATTTCGAGTCGTCTTGCGGGGCCTTGTAGCTCAGGTGGTTAGAGCGTTGGCTGCGCTAAAGCCTTCCCCTTGTTGTAGCGGGTTCGAATCCCACAGAGGTGTCGAGTTTTTCACAGATGGGTCAATATGAATCTCTCTTAAGTTTGAACTCGATTTTTTAGTTCGCTTAACACATGCGAGACGAGGCAAGAATGACGGGACTATTTTTGGAAGAGCAGACGCCCTATCCTCCTCAGAAACTCCATCTTGCCTATTTATATAATTCCCTGTCCTAGAAAGCAGCAATAACGCCAGAAGATAATTTTTTCGTCTTCCCTCACTCGTAATTCCCAGTCACCTACGAATATTTTATAAATTGCTGTCAAAAGACTCACCACCAAACAGTCACTTGAGCATGTGAAAATAAGTTTTAGCACGGCTTCGTCTCTAACAGCGAGCAATTTAAACAAGAACATTCCAGCATTGGCCGGTTAGGAAGTATTTCAATGTTTATGTGACCATTCTGAAGGGCAACTAAGGGCGTCTACAACTAGACAAAGATAACAAAAACGTTTCCAAAACAAAGGGGAAAGGCAGTTTTTTTGCTCGCGGCAGAAAAAGATCGGGGCAGGGCATGAACAGGCAGAATGTTCCTGTTTGCTTCCCGCGTCTATTCTACAGAGGGGGAAGGATATGGCAGTCATCCGTGAAATACTTTTCCAATGAGAGAGCACTTTTCACTTGATCAAGGCGGCAATCATCGTGGTCCTTCAGTACAGACGCCCACTTCCTCCGATGACTATGCTTCATGTTTAGATAAGCCTATAATTATGAATAAAACTATCATCTGCAGAGGAGTGGGCATTCCAGAATTTACTGCGCAATCATAGGCTTTAAAGTTCTGTCAGATTTTGAGCGTTTTAATAATCACAGTCTACCAAAACTGCCTAGTTGGGAAGTCGGCCGAGAAAATAGTGAACAAGGCCACCTGTAATGCGGGGAAGTTTTCTATTCCCATTCCTTATGCTTTACTGATTTTCGTTTTTTTTAGTTTATTTCCAGAGCGCCGTTCTTTTTTAAATTGGTGATTTGGTGGGGATATTTGGGACAGCTGTCTACTTAATAGAGAATTTTTCGTGACCTTACGCATATTTCACAAATTGGGTCGCATGGGGAATAGTTATTTTCATCAGCGGTTTGACATGATTCCTGCCATATGTGCCATGTACGATACGTGTACGATACTCTTTCTTGGATTACAAAATTTAAAAACACGTAATTCCCTACCAGATGAGAACACAAAAGAGTATTTTTTTCTATGCATTTAAATGTATTAGGGCGTCGAAAATAAATGCGAAAAATGTCATACTACATGAGTAGTAACTTTTTTACAGAGCGTAGTTTATACAGACGGCATGTGGAACACTCTTCAGGACGTTTTGGGTCCTGCGCTGGTTTTCCTGGCAAACCGGTCGGTTTGAGCAGTTCTAAAAGGACCATTCATCAATGGGAAGTAGCACTATGCGAATAAACCTCAATCAATTAAAATCCAATTTATTATATGAACGAGGGCGGGATTAAACAGCTGGCTTGAAGACCTTGAAAATCAGTTGTCTCTTACTTTTGTCCGCCCATTCTGTCAACTGTTCAGTGCGTGCCTTGGCAAACTCTATCGACAAGTTTGATATTGCCATTGGTTAAAACGCAGTCCGTACCGTAATCATTTGCTTACGGTGGGTTTCACTCTACACATCAGTTATCACATTTTGCACTTTCTCCTTCTTTTATGAGAATCGGCTTTCACACTCGCTGTCGTATTCTCCTAAAGGACGCTGTCTTCTGTTACTTACTAACCGTTTATTTCTCATTTTCGGCTCTGTTTTGTGGACGAGTCCGACGGTCGGTGCCAGGTAACCTCGAATTCTTGTGCTGCAAAGACGACGTAAAGCCTATCAGCCATTTGTTAATCCTCTAGAAACCTGGTTGGGTCGATTCTTATTTCGTAGCTGTACCTTCAGTAGAAAAGCCCCAGTCTAACCTCTAACCCTAATTCCTAACCCTAACTCCAACCCCTAACCCGAAACCGTAACCCCTAGCCCCAACCCTAACCTCTATCCTTAATCCCTAACCCGAACCCCTAACCCCTAACCCCCAACCTAACCCCTAACCCTAGCCCCTAACAGGTACGGCTACGAAGTAAGATCTTGTCCCTGATTGCTATTTTTCAATTACTTTAGTCTTTTGAAAAGTCTTATGCTTTCTCGCTGCCTTAAGATGCCCTGGGAGCTATTCGTGTACACTGTGTTCCAACACTTAAAAACGGATCCCTAGGGGGATTTGAGAATCTTTTCTCTGGAAAACAACATCCATATAATATCCCGTATTTTAAAAATGTAACAATGTGATCATAGAACACTATCTGATACGACGCGGTCACTAATTTCGCACGACCTTTAGCGGATTTTATTTGCTGTAAGTCCGTAAATTTTGAAATTCGTAGTTATCTCTGCCATATGATGTTTCGGTTTCTTTCACTGTCATAATTCAGCTAGCCTACGGCAAATGTTTCATGTTACGGGCTGCCAGCAGTGTCAGTTGAATTTGACGCGATTTAACTGAGAGTAGGAGACGACTGATTTACAGATAGCAGCATTTGTCAACTGGGAGAGCAGGGGGAACACACTCGGGAGAACCATCCTCTCTGTCTAACTGCGATGTGATCCGAGAAAAAAATGCGCAGATGCTTTTCGTGGAAAGCCTTTTGTGCGGATATCTGAAACTTGAATCAGCTGAGAGCATCAGCTGCCTGTCTGTCATCTCTCATTACATTTGTGAATCTCGCTTCGAAAGTGACACACTATTGTTAACTATTGCATTAATCAGTATTTTGAATAAATTGCAATCTCGATTGAAAGAAGATATGCATGATTGCGGACAAGCAAAACAAAAATTGAGTTTCGGAACAGCCCCGTAGATAATCGCGAAAGAAGAAAAACATCTTACACAGCTGCAGTAGAACAGATGAAAAGGATGTAAAACAGACGACAGGAGATCCTCGGTATTAAACACCAAAGTCGATGTCGGTAAAAAAACGTGACTCCTATGAAGCAGTTGGGAAGAAGGAAATGAGATCGCTGAGACGAGAAATCTGCGAGCCCGTCGTTCCAAATGCATGTTCGAAACTATCATCAGAAGCACAGGGGATGCGATATGTCTTGAGTGCCGTTAGCAACCTCCACATTCGTCGCAGATGGCCATGCATGATGCGGTAATTGCCTGGTCGCCCACATCTGAGCCGTTATCTGTAGCGAATTCATCCTAAGTGCTGTTTATTGACGCGGTCATTACTCGGACCGATACTGTCACCGAAATCTGTGTTCGCCCGCGCGCTCCCAGCATGACAAGTTGTTCCGACTAGTCAAAGTGTGAGGGTAAAGGACATCATGCTTGTTGACGGCCTACAAGCTGAGAAAGCAGGATTCAAGCAGCTCGCTTATCAGATGGTTTTCACCCATCGCAATAATTTTGGTTCGACCTCGAATGCATGGTCAGGTACCGTTGGATGTGCCGCGACTTTGGAGCTGGCGCCATTCTCCCTTGGTGCCGCCGCATGTTCAACCATCCGCGTCCGGATTAAGCTCTTAGTTTCTCCGGCGTAAATGCCCCGCCACAGCCGCATTCGATCCGGTAGGAGACCCCAGACGTTTCCCACCGTAACAGCGGAACTTTCTGCCCCATAACTCGGCGCTTGATGGTTGTCTCGGATCCGTTTGCGAATCCAAATCCAAGTGGCGTGAGATGGTGTTTAATGACTCCCAAGAGATTCTGGAGATACGACACCTCTCGCTAAAACGCGTATGTACCTTTTGACGAAGTTGTGGAGGCAGTTATTCATTCTGAGCACCCGTCTAAGGCACCGTTGTTCGGCAGTCTTGTCTCCCGTTTCCCTGGAGTGTATCTCAGCACGCTGCAAACGAGCAGACCGGACTCTGCGCTGTCTGAAAGCAGCCTATCTACGGAGGAAGAAACTTGACCAGCGCAGACAATTTACCCATGTGGGAACCCGAACTTGCTATGGTAAGCCTTCTTATACATTAGTGCGCCCCTTTCATTTTTGCGTCGTGTTTTTAGATGATCCCCTTTTATCGACCAGACTGCGTGTTCCAAACTACGATATTTGTTTTTCCAAATTCATTTTCTGAACAAATTCAATCTACTGTGTACTCATTACTCCGTACCTATCACGCTTCCCCATAACGGACCACTCAGACTATACGCTATATCAGCGTAGAGACTAGATGAGGGAACGGCAAGCGTAACTGATGCCACATATTGAGGTTTGTTTGCACACCGAGGTGCAAGTTCATGCCGCGCCAGTTACTTATGCCCAATCCCCACGCCAGACCGGTGCTCAGTGTGAGGAATTTAGAGTGGGTTCGACACAGAGGATTTCGTCCACGCAGTACGCAACGCATGTTCCTCCCCATAAACTATTTAACACAATGCCAATCTAGCATAATGCGTCAAAGGCCGCCGCTTGAAAGGCTTCCACCAGAAGAGGTGGATCGGGCTTCTCAGAACGCTGAGTCAGATCGTAATGGCCCCTCCTCAAAGTTATCTTCATTGTACTAGCAACCAGATGGAATCTGAGTTGCCCCCCGGCCATCTCTCCACGAAAACCCGATCCAATCTGTGAGGAACGCCCTTGTTTGGCCCGCGCAGGCAGACTGTTTGGATTTGTCTGCCGCCTGCGCCTCATCCCGTCTCTAGCCTTCTTGTTTCTATCACGTCATCGGGCACAGGATAGTGAGAGTGTGGTAGGTGCAGAGCAAGTCTACTAACACCATGAACTTATCCACGTGCAAGTCACCGTCCTTGTGCCCACTGTACTCTGGGACACACGTACGTTAGGTGGGCTAACTCATGAAATGTCAAAGGAAATTTCGAAATGAGTTTTTGTTTCGAAGAGATTAATTAACTAGGGTTGTAAAACTAATCATACTTCAGCATAATCCTATAATGATCCAGTTACCTCAGGGTGTCGGCTTTCGAATGAATTTATTTCTGACTGCATGCAAGAACTATGATCTGCAAAAAATGACTACTGAATTAGCATGCAATTTTCTCATTGATTTTCGATACCCTTGAAAATTAAATTATATTTCATGGAAAACACGCATAAAAATATTCATTTTTACTCATTCGGTAGAAAATCACGTCTTCTTCCGGTTTTATACTCGAAAGAAGGGTATAACTCGGTTTTCAAAAGCTTTTTCAATCCCCCAATAGTTTTGAACCAGACCTGATGTTACACTTACATTCAGGGTTTCAAAACTAAAAGCCGTATATTTTTGTTTACGAAAAACCATACATTTCTCTACGGTATTAAGAGGAGACCATATGGGGTTTATAAAAGTAAGCAGCGGGTTCGAGCAATATTGTTAGCTTTACAAGCCACATTGTTAAATGCAGATACATGACGTTTTATGAACGGCCATTTCACGGTAATGAAAAATCTCCCAATTAGAAACTTCTCTGAAACCGAATTATAATTTTCTGTCGAGTATAAGATCAGAAGAAGTCGTGATTTTCTACCGAATCAGTAAAAGAATGAATATCTTTATGCATGCTTCCCATGAACTATAAGTGAATGTAAGAGCATCGACAAACAGTGAGAAAAATGCATGCTAATTCAGTAGTCATTTTTTGCAGATCATAGTCCTTGCATGCAGTCAGAAATAAATTCATTCGAAAGCCGACACCCTGAGGTAACTGGATCATTATAGAATTATGCTGAAGTATGATTAGTTTTACAATCCTACTTAATTAATCTTTTCGAAACAAGAACGCATTTTGAAATTTCGGTTGACATTTCATGAGTTAGCCCACCTACTGCAGCAGTTGAAGTATCGTCACGAAATTTATGTTCTCTGATTACATTTAACTTCAAACTGGGAAGAAAGTGCTTCGATTTTCCTCTGTGAACTGTTGATACTACACCCCTAGTCATACTCATCGGGAAGTCGTTACTACTTGCACGAGAGCCACGACGGCCGCGAACCATGTTAGTAGTGATCTCGTCAGTTCAATTCATCAATTGGCAAAAAACGTCACCTGCATATGCCATCATCTCAGACACTTCCTCAATCGGTCGCACTACCACAGGGTAAGTGTCGAAACTTTGTCCTAAAGTCGTCCTAGACGGGAATATTTCAGGTGTTGAGAAAAGTAGTGCTGGGATACATAGACCTCGCTATTTGCCAAATTCCATGATTTTCAATACCTTTTCATAAAACCCTGTAAGTTACTAAAGAATATTTTTTCAGTATTCCGTATAAAAAATTGCGAATAGAAGCCCTACTGATGAGTATGCAGAAGCTACGCCTTCAAGACTCAAGAGCCGCACTCTTTCGCCCAGGTATACCAATGGATGCGGACTATGTTGTACAGTGAGTGACCGATCTTGTGGAATTTTGGCCATAATTTTGAAATGTGTTTTCGATTGGAAAGGATCACTTAGGTGGGGTTGTAATATTGATAAGCATGTGGCCTAATCCTACAATATTTCGCACTCCCCAGGGTGTCGACTTCCGAATGCACTTCGTTTCGGCCTCTGGCAGGAACCACACTCAGTAAAAAGTGCTTACTTAACTAGCATGCAATTTTCGTATCGATTTTCAATGGCCTTCCAAATAAGAACATATTTTTTGGAAAATCTGCATGAAAAGAAGCTTGCTCATGCTCATTTGGCAGCAAATCAAGTCGTTTTCGCATTTTATACTGGAAAAAGAGTACTTTTCGGCTTCAAAAATATGGCCTATAATGATAATTTTCAAGACTGTGCAATGTCCATTCATACAGCATCGTAGCTCTCCGTTTACCAATGCTCCTCATTAGGTGTTCGTCATAGTCCGCATCCGTCGCAAATTCTATGAACTCTATATCGTATCTTCTTAGAGGCATAGAGAAATATATGATTTTCCTTACGCGGAAAGCATGCACCATGTAGACTGAAATCGCTAAACGCTAATGCGGCGGCTGATTTAGCTCATGATTATTCGAGAATTGGGAGGGTTTTAAAAACCAAAATATGGCCTTTCTTCGAGCATGAGATGTGAAGACAGAGTGATTTTTTTACCAAACAAGTAGAAAAAAGCATATTTTCTGTATGTTTCCTATAAAATATATTTGAGTTTGTAAGGCCATTAAAAAGCAATGTGAAAATTCATACGACTCGAGTAATCATTTTTTACCAAGCGAGGTTTATAGAGGAGGTTGCAAGGAAGTGCAATCAAAAGCCAACATCCTGGCGAGTCCGAAGTATCATGAGATTAATAACCCCACATAGTCGAAAGCGAATTTTAGAATTTTGGCCGACATTTCACGAGATCGGTTACTGAGTTCATGAAGAGCACTAGCAAACGGACATACACAATGCTGTATGAGTGGGCATTGCTGATGACGGCTTCTGTGTCAGAAACGGACATTCCGGTCTCCCTAATCTTTGTCGGTACAATGCAATTTACATTGAACAGTCTTAAAAGATCTCCTAATTAGAAATTATTTACAATCCGAATATGCCCGTTCTTCGGGCAAGAAGGGTTAAGTAGGAGAAAGCATATTTTGTGCATGTTTTCTATTAAAAAAATTTGAATATACAAGGCCATCAAAAACCAGTGTGAAAGTGAATACTACTTGAGTAGACATTTTCTTACCGAGTGCGGTTTACGCAGGAGGTTATAAGGAAGTGCATTCAAAAGCGAACATCCGGACAAGTTCAAAATAGCGTACGATTATGCCGCAGGATAATCTACATTATAACCCCACCAACTTAATCTTTCCTAGGCGAGAAAGCATTTCAGAATTGCGGCCAAAATTTCATGAGATCGGTCACTGACTGTAGTTGAAAATCGAGTTCCATATCACAATTATGGCAGAGCGAGGTCATCAATGTCAACAAACTACGCCAATAGCTACACTGAGTGACCGATCTCATGAAATATTGGCCGAAATTCTGAAATGCCCTTTTTGATTAGGAAGGATTACGTAGGTGGATTTTAAATACTGATTGTTACGCGGCATAATCCTCATCCAGGGTCGCATACCACGCGCACCCCTGCTCCCGCCCTTCCTGGGGAATGTGCATGTTTTTCTGGGCGTGTGAGGAGAGCGAGAGAGAAATTGCTCGATTAGCAGGACAATAACAACGTCTCCAGTCTCGACAGCTCGTGCTACCGCCCTTTGGCGTTTCTCAGAAAAAAGCACTTAGTAAATGTACGCAAGGCAGGTCTGGAGGGGATGGGATTGGGGCGGTCCATGGTGCTTCGACTGCATTCCTCTGATCAGCCCTGCATTAGAGCATCGAAAATCAACATGAAAAATAAATGCTACATAAGTAGTCATTTTTTACCGAGTGTGGTCTATGCAGGAGGTCGAAAAGAAGTGCATTTAACAGCTGACATTCTGGCGAGTCCGAAATATTACGGGATTATGACGCATGATAATGAGTTTTACAAACCCGCCTAAATAATTCTTACTAATCGAAAACGCATTTCAGAATTTTAGCCAACATTTCGCTTCACTCACTCTAATTATTGACATAAGCTTGTCGGGTCTTGGTGAAGTCCTTCTGCCTTATGACATGGAACTCTATTTTCAGTTACAGTCAGTGACCTATTTCATGAAATGTTGACTGCAATTTTGAAGTGCGTTTTTGATTAGGAAAGATTACGTGGGTAGGGTTGTTGTGTAGGCCATCCTGCGGCCTAATCTTTTGCTATTTCGGGCGTTGGCTTTTGGATGCACTTCTTTTCGACCTCCTGTAAAAACGGCACACGGCAAGAAATGACTAACTACATAGTATGCACATTTCATACTGATTTTCTATGGTCTCCCAGATTCAAATATATTTCATGGCAAACATGCGCGACAATAGGCTTTCTTTTATTCATTTGGTGGCAGTTCTAATCGTCTTCATATTTCATACTGGAAAAAAAGTTTCTGATTTTGAGATTGTTAAGACTATTCAATGTTCATTCATATAGTATTGTACCTGTCCATTTATTAATGCTTCTCGTGAAGTGGGTAACCGGTCTCACGAAGTGTCAGCCGAAATTCTGAAATGAGTCTCCGAATAGAAAGGATTACTAAGGTGGGGTTGTAGCATTAGTCATCATTAGTGAATCGCCAGGATTTTGGCTCTTGAATGCACTTCCTTGCAGCCTCCTGCATAAACTGTACTCCGTAAAAATGACTACTCAATTAGTATGCAATTTCCGAATTTCAGCCAACATTTCATGAGATCAGCCACTCACTGTACGCCCCCTCTAAAAGACAAACAGACACACCCTCGAACTGCCCAGGGCCCGAGGCAGCAGGCCTGAATGGACGTCCGATCCGGCCAGACATAGTGACCACGCACTTCGCGAGCGGAATGCAAGGCCCCTCCCTGGCATACACCAAGCTGCAAACGACTTCCCAAGCTCAGCCCAACGGCCTGTTGGTCGCCCGTCTCTCAGACAGACACATCGACTATTACCAAGTCAGACGACCTGCCCGTGGGAAAAATAAATCACCCCTCCCCCCCCCACCCCAGGGTTGAATGAACACGGCTTAGACAGACAACTGCGACCCGACAACTGAAGGCAGACAGGGCGCCGCAAGCACACACGCCCTACACACGCACACACATAAAAGTTGATTTATTGGTCTGTCAATCTTCTTCGCAGGAGCTTTCCCATCGAAAGGTTTTTCCGGAAAGAAAAATACCACTTCACAAATGCTAAATTACCGGACGAATTCAAATCTCATCCTGCACACAGTCGAATACAATTTAGCCTCCTCTAATATTTTCTTATTTATCATCCGAGCTGTGGCGTCATTTAGACCGCATGCTGTTGTATGTACCAGAACAGAAACCAGACCAATGTTTTATCGAAAAGAATAAGGACAAGTTCATCTGCTTGATGCTGATATTTGCCGAGTGATTATGCTCTGAAAACTGGGCAGCATCGGGCGTAAGCGCAGACACCCTGCCTGTAATTATGTTCTGAAAGGAAATGATGGTTCAGTCTGGTCTTGCGCTTGGAGATGACAGTTAGTTTAGCCTGACAAGGACATTCTCTGAGCAGCTCCAACAACTGCTGAACACACTTCGCGAAAACGGACACCCAGGGAGATATATCCTCCGGAATATCGAGGAGCGCACTGCAAAACCTACCACATAAACGGCTGAAAAGAAAGGCGCGTTTATAAGACTGCCTTTTCTCGGGGGGACGCAGAAAGCGAACTAGTAAAGACAGCGATCATTAGCGCTTCCCCGCGGCGAATCTACACGTATGTTTCGTAATCTCTCTCTTCCTGCGCTAAGGAGAGACCGCCTACCGCTGTAGGCCACATCGATCGGTATTTGCTCACTAGCTTGCTCCTCTGGAACAGAATACATTGAAGATGCGCCTGGAAAGGGGGGGTACGTGAACACATACCGGACTGGCTAGGCAGGGGGGAAAACAAATCGATTTCGAGTTCTAACCTCGCACATCTAGTCGATGCGAATCACCGAGTTGAAGCCAATGAAGCATTTCAGATTGTCTACGGGACACACGAGCAAGCTTCTCCAGAGGCCTACGCCAACGGGTGCTAACTGCAGCCGAGGCGGTGGCTATATGGCTAGCGAATGTTGTCAGAAGACGTTGACACAGGTGCTCTGTCTTCCGTGTCCGCTGCCGACGCCAGATGATGATTGCACGTCGCCCCAACCTCCTGATGGCATTGGTGTGTGCTCGACGTACCCGACCTACAAACACCGCTCACAGCCTCTCCCACTCGCCCCCCCCCCTTACCCCAATGACCATAACACGCCGACCTCGTCACGCAGGTGGCGTGGGAACGATAAGCGTTAATTTCAGCCAACATTTCATGAAATCGGTCACTCATTGTAGCCTGCTAATCAGTCGCCTCTGCGCTGCTGAAAGAACTGTGACGGGTTCGAGGTTTGACGAAACAAGGACGCCCTGACAATCCCAGAATCAGGTTCTGGGTATTGACTGGTTCAGAGAAGCCGACCGATGTTGCCTTCTGTTTGTCATGTTTGAGTAGACTTTGCCCCAACGAGTCGGGCACTGTCAGTTCACACGAAAGCCCTACTTCTAAGTCCCCCCTGTTCACATTCGACACTATTTTTTCCGATGAGCTAAGTGTAGATCCCTGAGGATGCGTGCTAATTGCGGGTATAAACTAGCGGAGGCATGATAATTGCGCCTCTACCTTTTATCCCTCAGCGGTTCTCCATATACTCCGAGTCAGTCAATTACGTCTCGCTGGCCGACGCTCACACCACAACCTTTCTTACAAAGCCACCGTAACACGAAGGTGGGGATTAATTTACCATCACTCAACAGCCTCCCCCTCCATCCCGGCCTCAATTAACAAAATTGGTAAAAGTTTAGACTGGAATGAACAATCTCACTGCTATAATCGCCCCCCCCCTCCCGCATGAGCCCGACAACCCCCTACCAAACCCGTCAGCGTCATTATTGCTTGCTGTTTATAATGCCGGCGAGAACGGTACAAACAGAGCCAACCGCCATTAATGTCAGCCCACATTATTGTGCACTTTTCTAAACTGCGCATTTCCTACTAGACCCTGGATAGTTTGAGCAGGCAACCCTGCCCGTGATTAGACTTCGCACCACAGTCTAATGCTGTACACAACCACCAAGCAAACGAGTAGAGTCGGCATACTTTCAAACGTATCCCTTTCGAGGTAGGTATTCAGACATTGGTTGAACGAAAGATACTCTACTGTACTCCCGACATAGATACCAGCTAAAAGCTCAGACACGTGTTTCGCCTCTGCGTGACACAGTTTCGCGGGGTTCGACTCCTCGGGGGGTCCCCCCAGAGTTCCCTATGCGGTTGCTGATACATAAACTCCAGACAATAATCAAGCTAATAATTTCAGAAACTATTAATGCAAGACACTGAGTTAACTGTCCTGGACATGAATTTTTAGGTTCAGACCCATATATATATTCATTGGTAGGGTTGCGCTCACCGACCGTTCTTACGGAACTCACTCCTTCCTTTGTGCCTTACGGGCTCCCCCTCTCTCGAGTTAATTTGGGGAGCAAGTAGGTAACGAAGCGCAAAACTCGAAAAATCGTTTCCATAAAGCGCGCATGCTCGAAAATGGAATTTTATCTTTCTCCGATTTGAGTCCTTTTTTCAACTAGTTTTCACGCAGGCTTCCGCGTGATCACGTTAAGTCATCTACCCTAAATAGTGATGAAATGGTCTAACGTAGAACTAGTTTTTTTCTCTCTCGGGCAGAGGGTGGCGTAATTTAATTCCGATCCAAAAGTGTTCTTCGCGCCTTTTTAGACCAGGCAGGCTTTAGCCTCGAGCTTCGCTGCCAGCCTCTTAAGGGGGGGGGGTGAAAAACACCGTCACGCAAATGCAATTAGGCTCAGCGTTGACAAAAATAGAATTTTCCTTCTTTTTCTTACAATCCAGTTAGCAGCTAGGAATTACGAGAAAATGGCGCAAGTGGAGGAGGTGAAATCTGCTTTCGAAAGAAACACCGTTTTGGTTCTCAACCCTCCGGAGTCTCAGCATGACTGAAGCGCAAAGCGAAAACCTCATTCTATTTTTAGAGTAGTAGTTAGCTTTTCACGACAACTCGTCGGAGTAACTCGCAAGGAAAATTCCACTTTTTTCTACTTGGGTTAGATTTGAAGCATCTAAGGCCGGCCAGGAAAGCAGCATTTCTCTTGACTTCTCACTTTAAATGGAACACCCTCTTCACTTCTAGGCCCCACTCGTGGGAGAAATTTTTTTGTGCGTACGATTGTTACGGATTTTATTCGAAATCCTGCAGACTGAGAGTCGAGTCTACCCGCTGTTAGCAGAAGGCCTACCAATAGTAGGTTGCATGTTGGCTTACCCCACAAGACCGAGAAATATTAAAGGAGGGCTTCCGTAATTGTCAAATCAGCAGTCTGTGTATGGCAGATAGCTGACGAGTTAGAATGGAGCATCTCCAGCGAACTCAAAGTGTCCCATGAGGGACAGGCAATTGGGACATTCAGCAGCATTACAATGCAAGACTTTTATTGGGAGTATAATTACGGCCGAGTTTACCAATACGCTTTCTGGGTATGCTATCCCTTCCCTCTTTATTCGCCTGACATTTCGGATTCCTGCTCGAACATACATCGGGGCAAAAGCAGAGAGGGGCGGTTCATGCACAAGGGGCTGTGGTCTTTATAGAATGAAGTCGCCACGCGACCGCATAATTATGAAGATACACGGATCCTCCAGCTCCCTTGCACTTGGTGGGATTATTTCATTGGCCGACATTCGCGTCGTTAGTTGTTGCCTGACACCTGATGCGTACGGTAATGAAACGCAAAGACCCACTGCCATGACAAGAAAAACGCTTGGAGTCGTCCATCAGATTTTAGTGCAGTTCAGGACAAAGCAAATACGTTAGAGAGACCGGAAAACTGTTCCAAACGCGGATGGCCGAACACGCTACAGCAGAGCGGAGAAATGACGTCAGTTCTCAAGCTGCAGCTCATTCGACGAGGCCGAAATTTTTTCTAGAGGTGAAAACCGCGTGAACCGCGGGCTGCTTGAGTCATGGCTAACTGGTCGTCAGTCTATTAAAAAGTACAACGATCTTCCCCTTCCATACTGGGTGCCGAGACTTCGTCTAGGCGGAGCAATTAGCCAAGCGGGGAGCGCACAGGGTCGGTGGGTCGGATGGTTGAGCAATCATCACACCAACATCCAACACCCGTGATGAAATTGCAAGGATTAACGACTCGAATTTCGGCCATCAAACAGCCATTACACCAAGCGAAACAATGCCTAATGAAGGGAGGAGGAGGAGGAGCCGTGAATATTCATAGGTATGCGGTCGCATAGCGACTGCATCCTATAAAGACCCAGCCCCTTGTGCATGAACCATCCCTATCTGCTTTTGTCTCCGATGATATGTTTTCTGTCTATGGGGATTCGTTTTTTTTAGATCACGTAGATTTGTCTCCTCGTGACATCACAGTTAATCGAGATTACTGTCTGCTAGTTCTGGAGCGATTCCGTGAGGTGGTGAGAGAAAAACCACCTGAATCTTGGCAATTGGGAACAGACTGTTTCATCAGGACAACGCGCCTGCCCACACGGCTTTCAACATCAACCAGATTTTGGCGAAAAACGACATTCCAACGGTTTCTCACCCAGCCACCTCTTGATCGTCCGACCGTAGACTTCTTCTTCGTCATCTTCAGAACGCAGAAGAGGTCGAGAAGAAAATAGTGGAAGCATTTAGCAACATTAATTTGGAAGAACATGAAAAAGTGTTTCGAACAATGAAAAACCC